GGGGGTGCCCTGCCCCCCGCCCCCAAGAAAGAACGAGAGAAAGTACTTAAAGAAAGGTGGAACAAAATACTGAGCAGCCTCAAGGGGGGACTGGCTGCAGGGGGAGGAGCTGGGGGGAATTGGGCATGAGGGGAGCATTCTCCCCCCCCCCTGCAGTTGCACACCAGGGGAGAGAGAGGCCTGGGCAGCCCCCTCCCTGCAGACTCCCCCACATCGATGGCAACTACCAGTGGTATCTGTTGCATGGAAGGGCTGGGATTCTGGAGATAATTTCATCTCTACCTTCTTGGCATGGGAATCTAGAATGAAAGGCCAGGAAGAGCCGGACAGCTGGACTTTCAATGGGGGTCTTGGCTCATGTTGTTCTGGTGATCCCCAAAATTATAGAAGTCATAGAATAACAGAATTGGAAGGGACTTTGGAGGTCTTCTAGTCCAACACCCCCTGCACAAGCAGCAACCCTATACCAGTGATGGTTAATTTTTGGGGTGCCAAGTGCCCCAAATGCAAAAATGCAACACGAGCCCTCCTGTGCATGCACACATGTGCCCTGCGCATGCATCACGCCCCCCACGCCCAGTTTTGGCTCCCCGGTTGGTGCAGGAGGCCTTTCAGGCCCAAAATGGGGCATGGGGTATGTGCACATGCACACAACCCCCCAAAATGCAGTCTGAGTATCCCCCGCACATGCACTCTGTCCCCTGCGCATGCACGGCAGTGACCCGAACACCAGCTGGCTGGGAGGCATGCACGCATGCACGCAGGAGCTGGGCTGGGGTGAGGACTCTGCATGCCACCTGTGGCACATGTGCTGTAATTTCCCCATCGGAGCCCTCTTGTACTCAGCCAGATGGCTGCCCCATCTGGCTATAATTGTCTCCAGAAATGCAACTCCTAGAGGGCAGCTTTTCTCTTTCAGAAAGTTACCCATGAGATGGACATGTGTTACGGGAAAATGGGGAGCCTCTTCCACTGTGGCTCCCGCCAGACCCTCTTTGCCAATCAGCTGATGCGCTATGCAGACCTCTATGCCGCCTCCTTCGTGAACTTCCTCTACTATCCTTTCAGCTACGTTTTCCGGGCACCAGCAGCTCTGGTAGGTGGGCAAAACCAAGAGGTGGGGAGAGGAAATGGGGGCGCAGGGGTTGTGTGAACTGACCTGGGGAACAGCCTTTCCCCCAGCAGCTCCCTGGCGGGTTGGGAGCAGAAAGGGAATGCCTGACGGTGGTGGATCTTCACTGTTTCATTTTGATCTGTTCCCTCTCAGATGCCGCATGAGTCAACCGTGGAGCATGTAAAAATGGAGACCCCCGAGATGGACGTCTTGCACCAGCTCAGGCAGCAGGTGAGTAGACCCCGGCCCGTCTCATTTGGCCTTTCTCCCCTGCTTCTTCTGTGGCTGAATTGGCAGCTCCTGGTTTTGCCTTTCCTTCATTTCGTGAAGATGACTCTGCACCCATCACGATTGGAAAAGGTCCCCGTGCTTCTCCTTCCCGTGCCAGGAACAGGTGGTGGGAAGGAGCAGGTCCACATCGGGGCTCAGGGAGACCATGCATAAAGTTGGCATAAGAGATACTTTTGGGGCAAAATATAATGCAAATGGCATCGTCATGTACGGAGACCTGGTCCCAATGGCCGTCGCTAAAGGAGTCCGGGGATCGTTGAGTGTTTGTTGCAATGGGGCTTTAATACCCAGGTCAGCCACAGGGAGCACTGTGTCCTCTACCTGAAATGACATTTCCTACCTATCATTTGTGGCACTCTCTCATTTGCTAGTTCTTAAGAAATGTCCAGAAAACTGTTGTAACTACGTTTCTTACTTTCATTTTCACTTCTAGATGGATTGAGTTGTACTTGGAGTCAAGATAAATTGCAGTGATACCATGAAGATCATTTCACGTGCAACACATTCTTAGCTTTTGAGTTCCCAGAAAACAGTCAATGGATGAAGCTTCCACAATTTAATTCTCTCTTCTTTCAAAGATGTATATTTTCTTCTCAAAGGCTTAGGAAAGATTAGAGACACCCCCCCCCCCCAATGGCAAAGGCTTTTCCCAGGCAAAAGCAGCCACATTCTCCATCTCCCCAGTTGGAACTTTCCCTTCAATGGGGAGGAATTCTTGGTTGCATCTGGTTACCAGGGACACATCAGGATCCTCTGGATGAGAAGGGAAAGGGCAGAATTCAAATCCCTAGAGGATGGCAGCACAGACCACCGGAGAAAGAACGGACTGGGTCTTCAGCTGTCCATTATGCGGGTTGAACCCGCAATTCTGCACTTCCAGAAGCTTGGCTCGATCACCCATCACCCCTGCCAAAATAAATACATTTGTGTGACCTCTCCTTGGACAAAATGATTTCATTGGGGTTAGGATGTGTAAGAAAGAACTTTTCACAAGTATATTCTCTATCAGGGAGATTCTAGTGGGGCAAAAGACATCCTTGTAAATAAAAATATTCAGTATTAATATTGACAGGGAGCCTGCTGGGTAACACTGATCATGAAATGTCTGCAAGAAAACAACGATGCTCCAAGAGCACCAAGGAGCCCTCAGTCTTCAACCCTGAGCTACAAATACTGCCCTTTTTTGAGACCAACATTTCTCTACTTGTGAGCACTGGGTGAAAACCTTTCCTGACTCCGCGAAAATGGATTTCTATAAATTGTCACTAAACATATTCTAGTAATCCCACTAACAGCCTTCAGCAAGCAGTCCACCCATTTTGGCTGGAACATTTCTGCAGCCACAAGGACTACACTTTCCCCTTTTGGAATTAAATTGCATTAACTTGAGTTAAGTTGAATTTTATTTTCATTACCAAGCTGTGTAATGTGCTAGCACAAGATTATACCTAATATTACTTAATAATATATCTTATCAGAAAAACAAAATAAGTGAGTCCTTATTGGGATACAAAAGTTCATATAAGAGAAGCCAGGATTGATAATGAATCCTCCTCAAAATAAAATAAACAATGAAGAATTCTAAACTACAGATAGTTTATTCTCAATCTGTCTTTGTTTTACTGTCCTGAACAAGAAATTTTATCTTCGTAACTCATGAGGGATATATTCTGAATTAAATATTATAGCAAGCTAATGATAGGCAACTTTTGGAATAGCAATCTTATCTTATGCAAAGTAAAGAAAGTGTTCAAATAAAAAAAAAATACAACTCAAAAATTCTACATTCCTGAAGATGGGATTTACATTCTCCCTTTGAGTCAGAGTTCAGTAAAAACAGGCTCCCAATGCTTGTATTTAACAGGATAGGTTTTATAGTCCTGAGACGCGTTGCGTGAACCTTTAGTCCCAGGAGACTTGGGTGCCTGGAAAGCTTAACAGGATCCAGGATTTCTCCCAGGGGCCCTTCTGGCCACAGAGCACAAGCTGACAGAGAGACTTGGGGGTGGGGTGGGGTGGGTCAAAAGGCAATTCTCAGCTACAGCCATTTTTCTCTGCACTGGATGTGGCCTTGACGCACTCGCTTTGGGACTGGTTTTTTTGCTTCAAGTCAAATCCTCAAAAGTAAAAAAAAGTATATCTAAGAATTAAATGATGGATCTGATGAATTAAAAATGCTGAATTGAGGCAGCTGGACTCTACAAAATGACTCTTCAAAAATACAATCAATGCTTAAAAATATATATATTTCTTGGAAACATAACAGGATATATAAAGTTTTCAACTCAATAGGAAGTTATTTACAAGTATAATGAATTAAAAACAATCCAGAGATTTCACCAAGCCGGGAACTGACCCTTAACAATGAAAGGCTTGGTCAGAAGAACAAATCAAGAGACCATAAAAAAAATGTTGTGTTCTCCATTAAAGTTAATTTGTGGGCTTTATTGATACATCATCCCACTCCCTTTTAATTAAGCAGGCCCAGCTAATGAATGGTGTTCAAAGTCTTCCTGTATTGCCAGGAAACTGGTGGCAATCCTTCTATGTCTCATTCTCTAGGGCCGAGAACTTACAGGAGAAAATGGGGTAACAGTAAGTAGCTTCAGCTATTCAGACGGGTGTATAGGAATGTAGAGACGTGAGGTGGGATTTGCATATATCTGCTGCAGCAGGAGTGGCTCCCAATGCCTCAAAAACTATAGCTCCCAACGTATCTCACCCATTAGTCATAACGGCTGGGCATGGGCTGACCACCCTAGGATGTCAGATGCCCCTCTCTTTCTCTTCAACAGATAAGACCATTTCACGATGTTTCTTTCAGGGCATCAGGAGCTTCCAAATGAGAGTGACCACAAAAGATGTTTCAAAAGTCAATCTCGGCTGGCTGGCTTATCTCACTGCCCATCGTTTTCTCTTCTCTTCTCAGGGGAAGTATACAGAAAGTTGCAGCAGATGTACAGAGGGAAGACCAGCAGTCTACTGTCCAAATTCATCACTACTTGTTCCTAAAAAGCAAATAAATAAATAGATACTATCAGACTGCACATAAATATGCTTTCAGAAACCCTGCAAAAAAGGTTTAGAGAAAAGGCTTAGACATTCTGAAACTAACTTTACAACGTTGTCATGTAACTTCAGAGGCAATTTTCAATCAAGCATCAATCCATCTGTTGAATCCCTATTTCTCTAGTTGCCTTTTTTAAAAAGACTTTCTTGCCGCATCCTCCGCCCAAACAGCAAGGAGTTGGCTTATCCTGCCAGCTTCCATTTGTATCAGGAGGCTTCAAACTGGTATTTCTTGTAGGTTTAAGTGCCTGAATACAATGAAAGGAATTGGCTGCCTCTCCCAATAGCTCGCAACCAAGTAGCCCACAAGGGATATTCTTACGAACATCCTTCCTTCTTGTGCCCAGAAATTTTGCAGTTTGTGAGGAAAGGAATTATCTCCAAACATTTGACGAGAGCTGTAATAAATACTGCATTTCACCCGACTTTCTTCTTACTGCTCCGCGGGATGGAAGAAGCCACCTGATGCGATTGTCTTCTGCCAGGAGAAAGATGGGCAGCCTCCCAGCTTTGACGATGCAGCCCAACTGCTACCCCTTCTTGATGTTCAGTGGAGCTGAAGCAGTCAGAAGCCCTCCATGAGAGGGCAGCCTGCAAACAGGGTTGTCACAGGACAGCATAGTTTCAAGATAGCCTAGGGTGGAGGCTGGTTCATTTCTGTTTATCCCTCCTGCTTCTAATGAGAGTCCTACCTTTTCTCCTCTGACTCTTGCTAGCCAAAACGAACCAAAAACTTTGCATGTACAAACCTGATCTTTTTCCAGGGATAGTATCTGGTATCCTGCAGTTCTGCTACAAATAAGCTTCCCACTGCTATGAAAAGAAGCCATGCGCAGCCTAAGGACAGAAGAGAAATTACGTTAAGTGGTTGCAAATTTGATAAATAAATAAATAAATAAATAATTTAAAAAAAATCAACGGAGAAAGGAGGTGGTGTTTTTTTCCTTGAAGGAAGGGTGAAAATATTATTTGGATATGAGATGGTCAGCAAATCAATTTTGTTAACACCCCCCCCCCCAAATATAATTGTGTACACAAAAAAGTGGCAATATCCTATGCATGGAAAAAACCTAAAAGGAATCTCTTCTAGTCTGGTGACAGTGCCCAGAGCAATGTGTCGGCCACACAAGAGTCCTTTAGACTGAAAACACACCCAATTGGCTCATCCACAGCCCTGAGCAGATTTTGCTTTTGTCAAACGTCTAGGAGTCCCTGCGGATTTGGCTCTGCTAGCCGTGGTCGGTGCTCATCTCTGTTTCGAGGGCCAGTGAGCCAATGCTGTCTCAAGAGGTTTCTGCTATCATGTGGCCAGCATGAGGTCACAGGGTGTGGTTACTTCCCAATGAAGTGGCACCTTTATCAACTCACATTTCCTTGCTTTCGAATGGCTGGGAGCTGGGGCAAGAATGTTGCGTGGCACTCTGGTCTCAAACCTGGGCTGCTCACTTTCCGTCTGAAAAGCTCCGGGTCTTTTAACCGCGGAGCCATCCAGCGCCCTTCTTTGGTAAAAGGCCTGACACACCTTTGTGCTTGGGAAGACGACTTGGCCTGTTACCCCTTACATTTATAATCATGGTGACAGGCTGGTCTCCACCATTATCCTAAACACAAACTTCTGTACATCTGCAGGGATGTGAATGTTTTAACTCCGGCAAATACCTTCTGTGTTTTCCCTCTCTTACTCTGTTGCTTCAGGGATTTCAACGAACAAAGACCTGCTTTCCTCCATCGACTGCTGGTGAACACTGAGGCCGACAAGAAGAGCAAGTTCCGCTGTGATTCTCTCGCCTTCTAGCAATGGAGAACCAGCCGAAAAAGTTGGGGAACCCACCTGAAAGCAATATTTCTCCGGGGCTGCAGACTGACGGAGCCACTGCAGGGCTGATTGAGCGTGTTGCGCTTGAAGACAATGTAACGGTTGGTGTATGTGACCAGCAGATCAAAGCCAAAGTTGAAGCCTGTCCATCGCCAGCAATACTTGCACGAAGGAAGTGGGGGAAAAGGGTAATTGAATCAATGGGGGAATTCTAAAGGAGACGCTTTAAGTAACCTGCAAAGGGCCTCCTTCACTTTGACACCTTGCGTATTTTGTGTCAGCTCAGGAAATTCAACAAGTGGGTGGTTTAAAAAGGCTACATGAGCATTGTCATCATTTTTATATTTTCCAGTCATAAAGTATTTAACCTAGTAAAATAATCTAGTTAAGGAAAGACTGCTTTGGGGAAACAAACAGCTTATGAAAACTGTAAATAAATAACATTTTTAAAAAGGACATGGAAAAATATTTGTGCTTACATCACCATCTTTGGCAAGTTTTCTGCCACACCGCATACTGTTTGCTTCTAGTTCCTCTTTATTAATCTCTTGAGGCCTTGAACATATAAAACAACTTTCTATAAAATGGCATTCTATCAAAAGAAAGCACAAGAAAAGTATTCTAAATGGCCGCATACAGATCCTAACGCCTGAATACATTCACTTTTCCCCAGGAAGTTGTCTTGTTAAATGTCTTGGAATTCCTTCCTGGCCAATGCATCAAAGAGTTAGCTCCTGGGCCATGAGAAAATGACCCCCTATGTACATCATGGCTGGGTAGCCAGCACCCTAGCAGGTCACTAGTAAACCCTTGCACCCCTTCCCAGAACAGGAACAAATATTGTGGCTTGTGATGGAGAGAAAGCTGAAGGGGCAGAGAAGAGTGTTTGGTCCAGGGCTTGTGAAGACTCACCCCCTTGGGCAGGGGTAATACATGAGGTTCAAATGAGAAAAAGAGCTGCATTCTGCTCTACTCTCCCTAAACTACAAAGAGAGCAAGGAGTTCTTTCCATGCACTGAAAGTCACCTGGCAAAGGAGCTATACCTGCCCCGCAATATAAAGGATGCCGAACTTTAACCCAAGGCTAAAATGCCGTAATGTGAATACCTGAAGAAGACCTATTGTGACTCATAGAACAGCACCAGAAGTACAAGAATAAAAAAATAACATCTTTACAACAGTTTAGCTTTCGTTATATTCTGAATAATTGGGAATAATTCACTAACCTGGATTACTTTCCATAATTCAGATACAAACTATACATAATTCAGAATTATCTATTCTCTCTCAATCTTGAGCTTTTCTTCGTTAGCAATTTCCATTCACTGAAAAGCATGCTCTGTTATGCTAGTCCTGCTACATTATTCAAGATTTCCATTGAAAAGTCAAAAAAACTTTTTGGAAATCAAAGCATGTATTATTTCTGCCCAACTTTTAATAATGCTTGTTGGGAAGCAATATTTTGGGGTGAAAAAAGACTTTCTCTACAAAAAGTACTAATTCATACAAAACAAGTCTTCTGTATAGTATCTTTAGGTTTTATAATATCTTCCACATATTTATCCTAAATAAATATTTAAGTTCAGGGGTTTGAAGTTTCTTAAGACATCAAAAACCTTTTAGATATATAAAGTTTATTAAAGTTTTAAATAGAGGTTAAAACTAACAAAAATACAGAAGAAAATAAAGACAAAACTGCAGAGAAAAAGAACAAATGAAAGGAGCAACTTCTGATTTCCTTTGCAGCAAAGGGGAAGCATAATTAGATCTCTCTGTCTCTTACTCTCTATAAAACAGTATAATATAAAGTTATATTTTACTTATGATAACCAAAAAAGCCTGCTTCTTCTATTATCTATTTTTTCTGATCATCAATGTTGTAAATGCATTTTTTCTTTTTTATACCAAACCCAACCCCCCCCACCCCAAAACAAAACCCTGTAATCCTGTTTGCGGTCCACTGTGGGGCTGCAGACTATTCGGAACTGGGCTGTGGTGGGCGAGGGCGCACAAAGCGGCATTTGTGGAAGCCGTGCACATGGAACCCTCCCCTTCCCCCAATGCCGCATGGCTGCTCCAGGGCATTCAAGGCAGAGATTGGGGCACTGTTGTTGTGACTGTTTCTAAGCTGCCACAAATGTCCACCTTGCAAAGAAGTTCCTTTAGCCATCTCTGTAAATCCCATCATCTTCCCCGAGCATTCCTACGGGGTCGGTGGTGTGGAGCCTTTCCACTTTTGATTATATAATAAAGTATTGCTGCAACTACACCAAAAATCTTTTGAAATGAATAAGGAATATCTAGGCCGCTTTTCAGTTACTTTGTAAGAAAAGCTGAAATTTGTTTTCTCCTGGCAGGAACATTGCAAGGTGTGTATTTCCCAGTGACAGAGAAAGAGGCATTATACATACCCAAAGTCATTGTCTTGTTCTGCTCTAAGCATGGCAAACCACTGCTGTTTGTAAACAGAGAACAGCCAATCTAAAATTTAGAAAGACCAAAGTGCGCCTTTTATAAACGAGGCAAGAAAGTTAAAGCATTTTACAAGACTCTGAGCACTTTATTTACCCCCATAGACGCAAAAGTTTTTTAAAAAAACAGTCTAAAATCAAATACCGTAGCAACAAATTCAAATCACTTTATTGTGGTCATTAACCAGTAGACCCCCTTAAGCAACAAGTTTAGCGAAGTAGAGAAATAATTTAAATCTAGCTACAAACTAGCTGAAGTGCCTGAAACTAGATTCAGTGATTTGCCAATTTTACTGCCAAGGCCCATCCACATTGGTGGCGCCCAAATTGTTATGTGGGGACTTTTCCAAAGAACCATAAACGCAATTCTGATTTTACTTTCTCCAGTGCCTGGCATGATAGGGAAAGAAAACTGTCCACTCCATTCTTACCTGCAGGGATCAGGCTGTCTCTTTCAATAATTCTTGCAGATGCCAGATCGCTGATTATATACTGCAGCCTCAGATATTTGAACACAGGTATAAATGCATATCCTTGTTCTGTTTCCAAAAATGAGATCCCATCCTCAAAATCTGAAAAGTTAAAGCAGATTCAAATGTATTTTTACTATTAAGTAAAAAACAGCCCTGCAGTCTATAGGTAGTTTATCAATCCCAATGGAGAAGTCAATTTGGATACAGTTTAATAGGATTATATCCTGATTTGCTTTCAAAAGTAAAAGTGACTCAGAGGGAAAACTAGTGGAAGATTATGGTTTATAAATTCCCCATCCCGCACAAGAGAAATGTTGGGCCAATATGGAACACCCCATAATGAAGAGTTATGATACCGTATCTTCTGCTTCAGAGATTTCCAACATGCAAACTATTCACAAAGCATTTCATACGGACCTTTCCGGCGCTTGCAGAACCAGGCATCTGCTTCACTTAACAGCTGTTTCAACGATCCATTCCAAGAAGGCAGCAGCTGAAGGAACATCCACTGCATAAAACAAAGGAACAGCCGTAAGGTTCACCTCAGTCATTCACTAAGGAACTAAAGCTTGAGGAGCACATTGGCTCACAAGGTTAGGATGCTGGGCTGACTATTGGCAGTCTCATGTTCGAGACCTGGCTGTTGCCACGGAACGGGGTGAGTTCCCATCACATGCTCCAGGTCATGCCGACTCAGCAGTTTGAAAGCAGTCAACTGCAAGTAGATAAATGGGTACCACCTCAGTGGGAAATTAATGGGGACATGAAAGGAGCCCCCAACTTGGAGCCCCAAGGAAATAGTGATGTCACCATTCAATCCTTACAATACCCAAGTGCAATCCCGATACGAATGTAGTAGTAAAGCTTTATACCTATTTACACACCGTGTTTCTACTAAAAATTGTTTGCGGATAGAGAATATTATGACTTGTATTTGGGAATAAAAGCATCACAATAACACTGCAGTCTAGTACAATTAATTTATTGGTTTTTTTTGATAAAGTGATGAGAGTTTCTTCTTCTGTTAGAATGAAATTAACGGGATAACTGGCCACATCACTAAAAGGAAAGCAAGCAAAAAAGATAACAGCAAAAGAGAAGAAAGAGGAAGCTGATCATTTTTATAGAGTAAAAAAGGAAAGAAGGTAACCATAGAAATAGTTATTCTGTATGCATATAACTTTTTTTTGTACTTCTTTAAGTACCCTGTGCTATCAGAACAGGCAGGCAAGGTAACTTCGGTCTGTAAGAATACTCTCAATTTGGAAGAAATGACAGTGGGGCTTTAAAGAGTATTTTTGCACCATTAAAACAAAACTTGGAACAAACGGATGATATTAAATATTGGTACCTTCTTTAAAGCAGTATATATGTCCATTTCTACTTGCATGACAAACAGGTTAGAGGAACTAATCAGCTGTTTCATGAGGTTTATGCTGAAAGGCAAAGGGCATGGCTTGTGTTCAGTTCAACAAATTATCTGAACTGCATTTTATTAGGCTAAACAAGTTTCCATAATATCTGGGTTAATCCCAAAAACTCAATACCTGAGTTCTTTGAGGAGTTCCACACTCTGGTGGGTCATCAGATTGTTCAAGAGCCACTCAAGACACCTAAATTTAAAATAAGGAAATCCTTTCATAGCACACAGGTAATGCGATGAGATGCAATGGATGTTTCTAGTAAGCTGCTGGGCATTTCCCCCCCAGATGTTATAGTAAAATAGGAAGCCCACAGCCATCATACTCCACAGCCCATCCAATCAACCCTGTCTATCATCAGACCATAATGGACTACATACTGCGATTGTTCAATTTTTAATTTCCTATACATGTTTCCAATGTTCTTTGATAGATAAGCAGCAAGGTTTCTGCTGAAAAATATCACATGATATGCTTCTCAAAGCCGACATCACATTAGAAAATGAAAGAGGAGTCACACTAATTTTCTTCCTCAACAAAACCTTTTAGTGCCAATACTTACTTTTTTTTCAAAGAATCTAATCCATATGTTCCCGCAGAATTATAGTAACCACACACGGTTTTTGCATTAATTGTTTCCTTCATTGTCTCACCACACTGCTGTATTAAGCCATCCTGTAAACATATAATGGTGCAAAATAAATCCTTACTCCCAAGCCTAATGCTGCAGGGAGTGCCCTTACCTCAAGCTAGCTGGCAAAAATGCAAGCAATGACTATCTAGATACACTTTGGCTTCATCTGAACTATACGATATACTACCAGTCTCAACCTTGATCATACAAAATTATATTGTATTTGTAACAGAAGGAGAAAAGGGAAGGACTGGTACCCCGATGTTTAATTTTGAGGTAAGAGGCATCCTAACCTTTCTGAACACATTTCTGAAGGCCACATAAGAAGACCTTGTGCTTCCAGTATCAGTCATTCATTTATATGCTCCCATCTAGACAGGGGAGGAGGGCAAGAGATAGCAAGAAAATGTCTTTCTCAGTTCTGCCATTCAAGATGAGTTAAGAGACATTGTGATATTGCTAAGCAGGTGCTTGAAAACATGGCCATAGGATAACGGAAACGATGTGGCAATGACCATGTGCTCATCCCCAGATTATAAATGAAGATAGCAACAGCACTTAAGACTTATATACTGCTTCACAGCCCACTCTAAGCCCTCTCTAAGAGTCAGCCTATTGCCCCCAACTATGTGGATCATCACTTTACCGAACTCAGAAGAATGGACTGAAAGCCCTGTACTTTGCCAAGCAAAGATCTGTAAAAGCAGGGAGCCATTTCCACTTACCAGCTGTAACATGCTGGCAGCTGCTAGAAGGGCAATGACTCTGCTAGGGTTGATTAACACTTCATCCCGGTAAAGTGAGCCAAAGGCAACCTGTAAGGCTAAAGAAAACCACATCCTAAGTCTACTCATACATGGAAAACGACTGTTGACTTACCTGAACGGTCCTTCTATGTGCGCTGCGAGGGGAATCCAAGCATGGGTTAACTTTGTCCACTAGCCTAGAGACTGAGTTATGCAAATTGCTGGCCACGCCTCCTCTGACTGGAAGGTTCAGTTTTGTACGAAGGATCAGCTGATTCGAGAGAAGCAAAAGGAAGACTAGAAGTCAAGGTAAGTCAGAATGTCATAGGAAAAAAGGAAGTCCAGGCCCAGAACAGCTGAAGCCAAGGGCGGGTTTGGATTCCCCTCCCAGCGCACATAGAAAGACCGTTCAGGTAAGTCAACGGTCGTTCTCCTGTGCGCTGCTTGGGGAATCCAAGCATGGGACATGCCAAAGCAATAGACTTCAGGGGAGGGAGGGAGGCTGGTCTGGTGCCGTAGCCGAAGAAGCTACCCTTTGCAGCACGCATCGTCCATCGTTCTACTCCTGGTAGAATGGGGAGTGATGCGACTGGGAACCGGTCGGGAATGACAATTGTAGGCGAGGGCAATACACGCCTTCAACCAGTGGCTGACTAAGGAAACTAAGGAAGTTCTA